TTCCTGAAGTCTAGGAAAACTATATCCACTGCCACCCTTGCATCAACTAAAGTCATTCCATTTGCACACATGATTAGAGAAATTAGTTGAGATCCCAACCAGAAATTGCCTTGTCATAGATGCTAATGGCAATGCCAAATTGTTCAAATTCAATACCTTTAAACTGAACTATGTTACAGCTTTATAGTATATGCTAACATTAACTTTTACAGCTAAAGCAGCTTCTATCATTAACAATACCTGTAGTAATATTGTAAAAAGGTGCAATAGAAACAATTCCATTGCTTGACTTGGCCATTTAAAAGTAAACCGTCTTTAGTAAAACCTAATCATTTGTCAAAAGAACGAAAAAGTCTAACGAAAAATCTCCTGATGAACCACCTATTTTCTTTTGATATAAATAAAAGGGTAAAATTCCCTAATTAGAATTATATGCATCTGATAACTGTCATTTCTCTTTACGGTAGTTATTCCCTTTTTCTTTTGATGTTGAAGTTGATTCATTGCTGTCTGGCACTACAGTCTCTGAGGGCTGACTTCCAAGGCCATTAGCCGTCATTACCCACAATTATTTTACTGTTCTTTTTTTTCTTATTCCACTGTGTTTGAGCCAGCCAATATTTGGTGTTGTTTAGTCACTCTTTCTAAATTCCACTTCTTACATTTCTATCCTGTTATTTTACTCTAACTTGAATATGCAGATGATACACTAATATGTTTGTGTCTTATCTGTTTGGACTGTAGTTCTTACTCAACATGGCTATGGAAGCTAACACTGGCCCTTTATAGGTTTTACACATAGCGCTATAAAATATACATGTACCAAGATGTTTCTCTTTGAAAGAGGCAATATTTTGTAGCACTCCTCATTCTCTTTGTAGTGCTACAAATGGTTTGTATGTCTATGTGATCACTTGGTGTAGTGCTACAAGGTAGTATTTAGCATTACAAATGGTAATGTGTGTCCATGGCCTTTGTTTTTCCTTCCTTGTACCTCCAAGCTCTCAATATTTCTTCCTACTTTTGTTTTCTCTTCTTTCCTTCTAACCTTTTATCTCCTTCTCCTCCACCTTCTTTTTTCATGCCAAACTCCTGAATTCCACTTTTGCCATTACCTTAGTGTGACCTTTCAAAGCAATTCCAATGTTAAACACTAATGTATGGAGTAGTACTACTAGAGATTCGCCCATTAGAGACAGAATTGCATCTTACCTTAAGAAGATGAAGCCTGCACAGACAGTTGGATTAAGACTGGGTACCAGAGCTTAATCCTACTACCTGAACTGAACCATATTAATATGATTACACTTGATTATCAATTTTGTTTTGATGATGGTATTGAAAATCAAAGCCCTAATCATTCAGAGGATTAGCTTGTCTGTCTATAGTACTTACGTAAATCTCTCTCTAAAGTGATAAGTAAAATTAGTCCATTTTTACAGGTGGTACCTGAAACACAGGGGAAAAATGTGGCAGGGCTGAGTATAGAATCCAGTCTTTTGATAGACATTACACAAAAACTGGTTTAAGTGATCAGAAGCTGGTTTAAACCTGTACCAGAACAGTCTTTCAGTGCAAATTAACCAGTTACAAAATGGCATAAACTGGTTTGAGATAAACTTGGATGAATATAGTATCAGATTTACTGATTGAGCTCAAGCCAGTTTATGCAATGTCTGTCCCAGACCCCTTCCTGGTTTAAGTTAAACCAGAGTTCTCTAGTCTCTTGGCTGGACTGTCTACACCAGGGGAGCAGGTTTGGCCCTGCCACTCTGCTCCCTAGCCTGAGTAGGGACAGGACATGGCAAGAAACTGGCCAGCATGGCCTGGTTAAGGCAGAGTGGACATGGAGGGGGTCCCCTCCTTCCCTTTCTCCCCCAGTGCAGCCAGGGTCTGCTTGTTTGTCATGGAGCAGAGGGGAGGGGCTGTGGCATTGGCCCCTGGGGTTGGCAGATCCAGGCTGCAGGGCGGAAAGGATGGAGGGAGGAATTAACCCTTCCCTCTGCTTAAGGGGCCGTGCTGGGGCTCTGTTCTGTGCTGGAGCTGACTCTTCACCCTCCTCCAGGGTGAAGGGAGTGGGGCTTTGTGGTGCTGGGGGGGACTCCTGCTCCTCATCCCCCTGCCACCATGGGTTGGGTAGGGGGGCTCTGTGGGGCTGCCTAGCCCTCTTTGTCCTGCTTCTCCCCTGCTGCTGCAGGGTGGAGAGGGGAACTCTATGCCAGGTTGCCTTGCCCCAGAGGGGGACTCTTCCCCCTGCTCCTCCCCCTGCTGCTGTGCGGTGGGGAGGAGGTCCTCTGTGTGGTGCTGCCTGGTTTAGCCAGGGCATGGAGGGCAGCTGTAACTGAGTGGCAACTGTGGTTCAGTGATAGGAAACCCTGTCAGCAGTGCAGCCCAGCCTGGCGCAGTGCTGGCCAGTCAGCGACTTACCTAGGATGGCTCATAGACACCAGCAGGCTGGGAGTCCAGCAGCCACCCACCGCAAGGGCTGGCTGTGGACTCACAAGCCCTAGTGGTGCCTCAGAGCCAGTCCGGATAGCCCGCTGCCCACTGGCCGTGTGCACCAGGCTGGGCTGGGCTTTGCCCCTGACAGGGATCAGCATCCCTGTCACTGAGTCACAGCTTCTAGAGGTGGCCCCACTCCTGTGACCTGGTCCCACCATGCAGCTGCCTTGGCCAGGGCTCAGGGCCACTCCCAGCAGCTGTGGCTCAGTGACAGCCACACAGAACATTGCCTCCCCACTCTGCAGCGGTAGGAGGAGGAGGAGAAAGAGGAAGAGTCCTTCCCCTAGCATTGAACAGAGCCCCCCTCCCTGCCCCGCAATGGCAGTGGGCAGGGAGAGGAGGAGGGGGAAGGAGTACCCCTCCAGGGCTGGGCAGCTCTTCAGGGCCCACCGTGTGGGGAGGGAGGACGGGGTAGAGTACTGAACAGAGCCCCCCCTCCCCGCTCTGTGGCAGTGGGGGAGAGGGAGGAGGAGAGCTTTACCTTCTGGGGCCAGGCAGCCTTGTGTTCTGGGATTGCTCCTGGCTGTCAGGGAGCCACTGGGGTGGGCAGAGCTCTCTCCTCCTCGTCCTCCCCCCTGCCACAGAGGTCTTTCCCCATTCTCCGAACCCTTCTGGCCAAGGTTGAGGCTTAAACCTCTCATAAGTCTTACTCAGGCCTGCCTGGGCCTGGCTGTGCCCTCCCCCCCTGCCAGCTCAGCTTCCCTGTTGAAGGGCTCAAGCACCTCTGGGCTTCATGTGCCTGCATTTCTGGAATGAAAAGGACACATCTATCCACTTGCAAACTGGTTCAGTTTCTGCAGGCTAGACTAACCTGCAAAGATTGAATCAATTCAGGCTTAGGCTTTTTGAATGTCTGTCCTTAGCCCTTGCACCCCTAATACCAGCTCGAGCTCTTATTCTTGTCCTGTGTACCTTGATCTCCTAATCACTGCACAACACTAGCTTCTCAAATGTTTGTTATGCTTATTGTGTTTCCATCTTGAGGAAAGACAACCTGCCTCTTTCTTTGGTATCTAAACCTCTCGTTACCGTATTTAATACAAGTGGACTTTAATATGTAACCTTTTTTTTGCCATTCTCTATGCATTGTGGTTTAGGGCCTGATCTAACCAATTGTGTTTGGAAGTAAAAATAATCGAGGAAATGCTCAAAATCAATTAGCAACATATTTCTGTCCCAATGTAAAGCATGAAGTGCTAGGAGTGTTTCCTTTTGGGATATATCCAGAGCCAAGAAATTTGGTTAGTTTGGATAATAATCATGTAAGTTTCTAAGTTTCTGGGAGTTTCTTCAGAAATGATCATATCTACTTCTCAAAAGTTTCTCCTCCCTAATATGTTTATTACTACTTTGTTGGTAGTTTTGTTAAGATTGAAAAGCTGTTTTAGGTCTACATGACACATTTTCTCCACTGAGGTGAAAGATTAGCATTTTTATAACCATCTTTTGCTAGATAACTTTTTCTTACTTGAAATTTATTGTGCAGATTAATTTTTATGTAATAATTTTGACGTTTCAGTACTTGAAATCTCAGAATTTAGTTAAGGGAAAAATTGTCTCCATAACTACCATCCATTAATGCCACTATTTACTGCCTGTGTTCATGTACACAGTTGGAACAGCCAAATGTGCTGGCAAAATTTGAATAATAGGGTTGGAAGGGACCTCAGGATCATTCAGTTCAACTTGCTAAATAGACACAGGATTTGCTCTTCAGAGACAGGCCTCTGCTGCCATTTACTGAAAACCTCAAATGTAACAAATACTATAGTTGTCATGGGAGAGAGAAAAGCTGATTAGCAGTATTCCAGAAAGCCTTTAGAATAATGAAGAAAATTGGAAATACATGCAGAACTCCCAAATATTGGAATATTAATGTTTTAAAAAACAATGTCCCATGTGTCAGTAAAATGATACTAGCTCTGTAACTGGTGTGGGGGGATGTGGGTATAAAATATACTTAATGTTTTTCCTTTTTTTTTTTTAACAGTGCTTTAATTTGCCATTGAAGACAACTTACACCATCAGACATTCCATGCAGAGTGATTTCATCTATCAAATCTCCAAGTACTGTGAATTGAAACTACCAAACTGTGTAGTTTATGAGCAACTGACATACAGGGCAGATGGCATGTTTCTTTGATATTTAACAAGGAACCATATTACCATTATGACAAACCAGGAGAAGTGGGTTAATCTCAGTCCTGCAGAATTTTCTCAGCTTCAGAAGTATGCAGAGTGTAAGTATCTATTCTTTGAAATATTTTATTAATGCAAAATTAAGATGACTTCAAACAGCAGTGTAAACCAAAATATTTAACTTATGCCATATATTGGAATGTTCAATTTGCATTGTAAAACAACTCATTATTTTTATGGGGCTTAACATAAACTTTTTTCCTGTTGGAACACTTTTCCATAGATAAATTATGCTTTCAAGGGGAGAGATCTTATTTTTTTCTCTTTATAAAACCACGTTTTCAGAGGAGAGCCAACAATTTGATTATCCGTGTAATGTGAAGCCCCCTGTCCAAAATGATTGTGGGTTATCTGAACAACCTGTTTGCCCTGTTATGCTCACCTAAATATATTCTTTAACTGAAGTATCTGGAAGCTAAGGGAGCTCAGGCATGAGTAAAACAAATATTTTGGCTTGTACCCTGGCATTCAAGTTTGGTAAACATAAAACATTGATTTGCTTCGAGAAGAAAGCATAGAATCATAGAACAATAGGGTTGGGAAGGATGTCAAGAAGTCATCTAGTGCAGTCGTCCTTCTCTCCCTCTCTTTCCTCCTCCTTAAAGTGTGATACCTAAAGCTGTATGCTGTACTTCAGGTGAGGCCTCACCAGTGCTGACAAGAGCGGAAGAATCACTTCCCCAGACTTGCATGCAACACTTCAGTACACTTGAATACATTTCAGTGTGTGTTTTATTTTTGTTGTTTGTGTTTTGTTTTGGACTATTGACTCATTCAGCTTATGGTCTGCTATAACCCCCCACATACTTCTCTGCAGTACTGAAGCCAGCATATATACTCCCCAGTATATATTTGTGCATTTGGTTGTCCCATCCTACACCCAGTACTTTATGTTTTTTCTTACTAAATTTCAACAAATGTATTTCAGTCACTTTCTCCAAAATATCAAAGGTCACTTTTTTATCCCCATCCTACTCTCCAAAGTGTCTACTAACCCAGACAATTTGGTTTTACTTGCAAATTTACTTAAGTGTGCCCTCAAACTTGAAGTCATTAATTAAGACACTGAACAGTACCAGACCCTGAACATACTTCTGGACAACCCCGTTTCCTTCCAGTTAGACACTGAGCCATTCATGACTACTCTTTGAGCACAGTGATCCAACCTGTTATGTAGCCACCTTACAGTAGTTTTCATCTAGACTGTATTTCCTTAGCTTACCTATGGGAATGTAATGGAAGATTGAAAAACTTGCCATTATGGTAGAGATCACATCCAGATCTCTGCTAGGATAATGTTATAGTATTATGAAATATATAAAGATGCTGTTCCCAGTTGCAGGTGTTGGAACTCCAAAGCTCTTTGGAATACAGACCTGTTTAAGGCCCAAATCTGTAGTCCCTACTCATACAATATTTCCACTAAAATTGTCTGAGAAAGTATTGTGGGTTGGGTTCATAGAAAGCAAATAGAAAATATAGGAGCTCTTGTAATCAGTTTGGCATCATAAAGGGCAATGACTGAACTAGTATGAGAATATTTGATTTCTTTTCTTGTTTAATGTATATGCAAATATTGAGAATAATATGGTCACCTATAGACAGGCAAGAAGAATACTTGCACAATTAACTAATGTCTGAAGGAAATGTAACAATAGTGCAGAAAGCAGGGTTTTTTTTATATTTTTAGCTGTGAGATATAGGGATATCTTTAGTTGTAGTTCATTGGAGTCATACAATTTTGGAAAAAGTATTGTAATCCCAAAGTAATAAAGTTAATTTTAATCGTAGTTGAGTGGAATGTACTATTAGGATTGAAAAATGTTTTTAGATGTGGGAATTTGACGATAACAGTTATGACTTCTGTTCAGTACTAATCTGAACTGCTTTTGAGAAATGAAAAGCTCCAACTTCCTAGAATTTAACTTTTTATATAATACGTAGATATGAAAAAAATCCCTTTTTGTCTAAATGCTATTATACAGTAGTAGTAGAATTTTGCTGTTTGAATGTAGAACTGTTTTGATAGCAATGCACAGTGTTTATCCATGAATACTGTGTGCAACTGGTTCTCCGTTTGTTATATTACTAGTGGGCATTAAACACGTGCCATGACTTCTTAAAAAAAAAAATCTACTTTTTATGAGAACTTTTTAAAAATAGCTTCAACAGCTTACTTTTTCAGTTCCAGAAATTGCAATGACTTTTAATAATAATAATTATTATAATTATAATAATAATAATAATAATTTCTGCACGGAGGCAGAAAGAGATCTTGGAGTCATTATCGACTCCAAGATGAACATGGGCCGACAATGCGAGGTCATGGTTGGCAGGGCTAACCGGACCTTGTCGTGCATCCACAGGTGCATCTCGAGTAGAGCCAAGGAGGTGATCCTCCCCCTCTACGCGACGCTGGTCAGGCCACAGCTGGAGTATTGTGTCCAGTTCTGTGCGCCCCATTTCAAGAGGGATGTGGACAACATGGAGAGGGTCCAGAGGAGGGCCACCCGCATGATCCGGGGACAACAGGGCAGACCCTACAGTGAGAGACTGCGGGACCTGAACCTATTCAGCCTCCACAAGAGAAGGCTGAGGGGGGACCTGGTGACCGTCTATAAACTCACTAGGGGGGACCAGAAGGGTTTGGGGGAGACGCTGTTTCCCCTAGCGCCCGCTGGCATAACAAGGAGTAATGGGCACAAGTTGATGGAGAGGAGGTATAGATTGGACATCCGCAAAAACTACTTCACAGTTAGGGCGGCTAGGAGCTGGAACCAACTTCCAAGGGAAGTGGTGCTGGCCCCTACCCTGGGGGTCTTTAAGAAGAGGCTGGATGCCTACCTGGCTGGACTCATTTGAGTCCCATTTCTTGTTTTGGGGTTTTGTTGTTCTCCCGCCCTGGCGGGGGGTCGGGCTAGAAGATCTACTAGGTCCCTTCCGACCCTAAATCTATGAAACTATGAATAATAATAATAATACACTGGTTTGGGGTTTTTTTACTTTTATGTATTCTTTAAACTAAAGCCTCAAATGGAATAACAATTGAAATCAAAATAAACAGCTATGATGGTTTTAAAACTGAATTAATTTTTGGAGGAAACAAGCACAGTTTCTGTATGCATGTCTGTGAGTCCCATTGGTTTTAGTAAGATCTGTGTGTATGCATAAATGGGATAATTTGGAATTCATTGTAGTAAATGATTTTTTCCAGTCTTTTAAAACTGGATTTGACAAATATTAGCTATATTTTCTCAAGGGCTAACATTTGATGCTAATTGTGTCAATAGCAGACATTCTCAGCAAGTCAAAAATAATCAAGAGAGTTTTAGGTTGCCTTGGTTTGGGTGTCTAACCTTATGCAAAGATACTCTCACTGAACATTTACAGTAGTAACATTTGTTTAATGTGTGACTGGTAGTTAGTTTAAAATATGCAGTTTTATTAAATATACCACCTGGAGCCCAGAAGCAATAATAGGTATGCCCAAGAGCAATAATAGGTTGACTCCCCAAGGTTGCCTTGGGACCGCAGAAGGTTTGAGAAGCCCAGTCCACCAAAATCAAGTACTCTAAGAAATAAATTTAAGTAAATGTTAATATACAAATGGTAAATGAATTATAACAAGGTAGAAGTTAGGCATAGCATACAAGGATTATACATCTAAATAAAGGAGAGAATCATTTAATATCTAAAACAGAAACTGGTCTTAAATCTATTAAGTTCTAAAGTTCTAAAAGTCACTAATAGGTGACTGATGTCTTAGGGTAAAGCACTTTTGACTTAGGTTTCAGAGAAGCACTGCTCTAAGTATAGGAGCAATTCAGAAAGAAAAGGAGCTGAAGGTTGAAGAGCAAAGATTGAGATGGACCTGACTTTTTGTCCTTTATTATTTTGCCAGACTTAAAGCTTGCTGAATAAAATTATCTGAGATAAGGCTAGTGGATATATAGATATATCCACTATATATATAACTTAAAAGGTTAGCTAATCTTGAATATGCAGTCATTCTTTCTGATATAGTGATTGAATGTACCATTTTTTTAACCCACAAAATATGCCTATTTCTGTCACTAATGTAAAATAACTTTCACAGTAAGGTTAGATCTTATTGGTATGTAACTACAAAGCTAGGATCCTTAAGCTGACCTATGCAGTTTAGCCAATTTTCTGACTAAATTGTAAAGTCATCTTGCCTATGATGCTCTTTAACTGATTGCCTTTAGCTTTGCTGCTTCTTTCCTTAGCTTTGGTTGTCGGCCTAAGTTAACAGGTGCTAACTGTAAAGCAGCCTAGCAGTCTAAGACCTATAGGCTAATTACAGATAGTCAAAAAGCCTGTGGCTGAATTGATTCAGTCTTTACAGGCTAGTCTAATATGAAGAGATTAAACTGAGGAACAACTTTTACTTTTGATACGCATTTACTTTTGATTCAGGAAATGCAGGCACATACCAGGGGAGGGCAGGGTGCTATAGCATGGTGCTCTGGCATGGGCTGTGTGTTTGCTTCCTCGTCCTGGTACCCCTGAGGTCTCTGGGATATCCAGCCCAGACTCACAGCAGCAAGACTTTTCCTGCTTTTAGGTACAGGCAGGGGCTGCTTCCAGGAACTCTATTCCACAGTTGCAGCCAGCAGTAAGTTTGAGCAGGATGTTTAACCCCCATCTCTGGCCTGAGACCCTAGCCAGGGTTTGCTTGGGGAGGGGTAGTCCCTGCCCCCCACTCCACCCCACTTCTCGGCTGGAGCAGACAGCACAACCCAGCCCAGGGCTGGAAAGCATGCTGGGAGACTGTGATTTAACTTGAACCAGGAAGCCATCTGGGACAGAAGTTTCATAAACTGGCTTGACCCAAATCAGTTAAGTTTGATATTTATTAGTAAATGTTTAGGATTGTGAATCCAAAAAAGATGACAAAGCTGGTAGGGAAATGCATGTCGCCCGAGCAAGGCACTAACATTAGAGGGATGGGGGTGAGGAGGGGAACGCAACTAGGTTATAGGAGGTACAATGTTAGCCAACTAAGCCCGGGCGTAGGGGG